CTCAGCCTCCCGAGTAGCTGGGACTACAGGCACCCGCCACAACGCCCAGCTATTTTTTTTGTTGCAGTTTGGCTGGGACCAGGTTTGAACCCGCCACCCTCAGTATACAGGGCTGGTGCCCCACTCACTGAGTCACAGGTGCCTATCTGTTTTTTTCTTTTTCTTGAGGCTGAGTCTTATTATGTCACCCTCAGCAGAGTGCCATGGCATCACAGCTCATAGCTCTTTGGGCTCAAGCAATTCTCTTGCCTCAGCCTCCCTAGTAGCTGGGACTGTAGGTGCCCGCCACAACACCCAGCTATTTTTTTTGTTGTTTAGCAGGTCTGGGCTGGGTTCAAACCCACCAGCCTGGTGCATTTGGCCGGCACCCTAACCACTGAGCTACAGGCACCGAGCCTGTGACTACTATTTTCCATCTGTCCACCCCAGACCCACTCTGTGCCCTATCCTGAGTTCAGATGTTCTCAATCTTGCTCAGGCTGGTCTCCAACTCCTGAGCTCAGGTGATCCACCCACCTCAGCCTCCCACCAGAGTGCTAGGTGTGAGCCACTATGCCCAGACCAGCACAATGAAGGGGGTGGCAGGAGGCAGTGGGGAGAGAGGGGCAGTAAGGGCTCTTCAGAGAGTCCCTTGTAGGTTCCCTCAGCCTTGTCCATGTCTGCACATATAGGTCCCCCTTAAACTCTCATTTGCCCTTGGCCTGTCCCACTGTTTCCTCCGGGACACTGTTCACACAGTTCCCAAGAAAGGGCACGTAGCTTTGACACATTCAACTGTTCCTCTCAAGAGGCTCATTTAGCCTCCCAGGGAGGGGACATCCCTTGCAAAGACCTCCCCTGCCGAGCCCATTTGACTGAAAGGCTCAGTGATCTGCTCACTTAGGGGAAGATGTTCTTAGATTCATCCAACAAACGTGTGTTAGTTGATCTGAGACTCACACCTCTCAGCTCCAAATGCAAACTCAAGAGGATGTTCTCTCTGGGCCTACCCTGGCTGCCTGTGGGTCCCTGTGGCCCTTGCTAATGTTCCTCTCCCGGGGCTAGACTAGCCGTCTCAGCCCCTGGAATCCCTCAGCTCCAGCCCCTGCAAGGCCTTCATCTGCCTGAGCAGGAATCAGCTGGCAGCAGACAGCACAGTCAGGGACCACTTCCTGGCACCAGGTGCCCAAGAGCTGGAAGAGGCTGGAGAGAGAGAACCCAAGGCACCATGAAGAGCAGACGACTGCAGGGGTCCTGGACCCCAGTCACAAGCTTTATTGTCCCGAGTGAGCACAGACTCGCCACACTTCAACAATTCCACTGTGGGGAGGGGAAGGGGCAGGAAGGACTTGGGGAGGGGCATGGCTGGGCCATGTCCAGGTGACCACCCGAGCAGGCTGAGAGGCCCAGGGAGGCAGATGCTCTCGGGGAAATCGCTTCTAGGACACCTGCTACGACGAGCAAGCCTGTGCCCTGGGGCTCGCCCCTCCTGGTGCCCTGCGGTAGGGGCCTTTGGCTGTTAGTAGACTGATCAGTGCCTCCTGTGGGTGAGGCAGAGCTGCCAGATTTTGCTGGAAAGAGCAGTATTTGGCTCTGGGTTAGGCCACTAAAGCGTTGTTTCTAGGCTGCTGTTAATAGAACTGCATGCGAGAGCTACCGAAAGCCAACAGGGAGTGGGAAGGGGGCCGGTGGGACGTGCTGTCCCCAAGATGGGCTGCGTTTAGGCAAGGACGTGTGTGCCACCTACCGTACCAGGCAGCACTCACAGGTGACCTAGGCTGTTGCTCTGAACTATACTTCCACTCGCTGCACTATGAGGCAGGCAGAACGGGGCATGGAGGCCCCTGGCAGGGTCCCTACTAGAAACTCTCCCTGAGTACCAGGAGAGTGGGAGCCCCCCTGTGCTAATGCTGAGGGACCAGGCAGTAGGCAATCTGTGGCCCTCTGAGAAGCGGGGGATGCCGTGAGGGGAAGACAGGTAGGCTGTTTGAGTTTCCTCACTCCCAACACCCCTATGGTTCCTTCCCTGGCTATAGGAAAAGAGTTTGAGAAGCTGTGTGCAGGCGTCTGGTAAGACTGGGAGGGGCTATTGGAATGTGTGTTCTGATGAGTGTGCAAGGCACACACACCCCTGCACGCCTGGCTGCGTGCATATGCACGATGAAATTGTGGGAATGTCTATAGTCTCTGTGGGCAAAGTCCTGCCAGGCCTGGGCCTTAGTCCTGAAGCCAAACACACATATCTGTGTGGCCTCAGTGTGGTTAACCGCAAACGCTGCCACCTACATGGCCATATGTGTGCCATGGTCCCTCTGTGTGTGTATGTACAGGGTGTGTACACCAGGGTCGGTGTGGAAGTATCTGCAAGTGGGAGGCCCAGTTTTGGAACATCCAGCAAGCCCAGGGGACCCCATATTACTGACCTTTGTCAAAACATGCCTGGAGCCCTCACTCTGGGCTCCACTGTGGCCGCCCCTGCCCCCAACCCCAAGCCAGGCTTGTCCAAGGTCGTGAGGGTAAGGGGAAGAGCTCCCAGACTCCCCTTGACTGTGACTCCTGGCCTAAGTGAACACTGTCTGCACTTTGGAGGTGTGTGAGTTGGTGCTGAGGTGGGGGGAGAAAGACCTATTCCCCCACCCCCAACACTTTGAACCTGGGGGCCTAGCTCAAAGTATAGGCTGAGGGGAGCTTGTACCACTATTTGAAAAAGGCTTAGTGTATGGGACAAGAAGCCCTGGGGGACTGTCTTGGCCGGAGAAGGGGCTGTGGAAACCCCACCTGGTTCCCAAAGACTGGACTTCCCTCCTCAGTGCCTACAAGGAAGTTGGGCCTCCCGTCCCCTCTGGGGTCTGAAGGGAACCTGAGGGTGAAGGGGAGGAAGGGCAGGGCAGGGAAGCACTCAGGGCACCAAGATGGTCCTCGGGGCAGCTTCTTCTGGGCAGAGGGGCCTGGCTAGGTCACCTCTGCCTCTGCAAACAAACTCTGGAAGCTGCTGTGTGTCCCAGTTGAAGGCCCTGGCTTGGTCCGGACTGTACCGCTCTGTAGAAGGTTCTGCTTGAGGAAGCTTCCTAGTCTGGGAGGGGTTTGGGGTAGGGGATTTTCCACGGGGGCAAGTACGTTATTGTTACAAACACTGTCTCGTCTCCAAAGTGACAGTCCTGGCCCCTTCCTGGAGGGGGCGCCATTGGGCAGCTGGGCAGGGCTCTGGTATGGACTGGGCTGCTCCATTGTGTCCCTCATGGTCAATGCTTGTCCTAGAAAGAGCAAGGGCTTGGTCAGCGAGTTCTCGAAGAGCCTTGGGGGACAATCTCAGGGTTGCTGGGAGGATAGAGCCACACTAGCTGCAGATCCAACTCCCAGGGTACCTTGGTAGAGAGTGGCTGCTCTGCCCACACCACCCTGCCCGCCCCAGCCCTGCAGCTGGAGCCTCCCTCCTCTATAGCCAGAACCTCCACCCTGCCCCAGGCCTGTTCAGGCTCCCCTCCTCCCCTGCCCTCTTCCCTGCAGGCCTGGCCCTAGGTGAGATGGAAGGAAGAGGAGAAAGCAGGTTCCTCCCTCTGCTCCAGCCTCACCCACCTCAGGCCATACAGCAAGCTGGGGGCAGGCTGGCTCCCCGGCAGTGAGTGCTTATAATACTGGGGGTGAATGCCAGGAC